CAGTTTTGGTTTCGCTGCTATGTCATTTTCATATTGTTTTTGGGGCCCCCCCTTTTATTTTGTGCAAATTCGTTTCTGGCTCTAGGGACTGCTCCCCTTAATTCTCCTGGGCCCTTTGCCTTCTATATTTTTTCCTTTCCCCTAGCACCTTTTTTTTGGGGCCTCCCTGCCAACCTTTGGGAAAACCAGGGCTTTTCCTAGCTTTTTCATTATTCCTGTTACCCTTGGGTAAAAAACCTCTCCTCAGCCTCCTTGAAATTTTGTTGCAAACATATTCCATCATCTCATTAACTGGTTTTCCCTGCCATTCTCTGTCCCACTAAACCCCCGTTCAGGAATTTCCCCCTTTCCTAGGTAGTCCCTTTTCTTGTATTTTTGGTTTCATTCGCCCTGGCCTTCCTTTTTCCCCCCTCCCCCTCCACTTGTAGGCTCTACTGTGTATTCAAAGCTTAAACCACATGGTCACGGGCCCCCAAGGGGTACCTTGACCAACCCCTTACACGCATTTTAAAAGAAAATCCTCCCCACGAATAAAATCTCTGCATCAAGTGTTTTTTTTTCTGATTGGTTTGGGGCCATAAAACTGCGCTCACCCTTTTTGGTGGTGTTGATGCTCTCACCACCCCTGTTTTTGGCCCCTTTTTCAGTTTCCAAGTAAGCTGTACAAATGATTGTCCCTACCAAATAAGCTGTAGCAAAGACTTGTCAGTACCAAGTAACTGTGGACTGACCCTTTTCATTACCCAATAAGCTGTACAATGACCCTTTTCAGTACCAAAATAACTGTACACTGCTTGTCATTTCCAAAATAACTTTTACACTGGGCTTGTCATTCCAAGTAAGCTGTAGCACTGACTTGTCAGTAACCAATAAGTGTAGCACGACTTGTCCAAATTAAACCCAAATAAGCTGTTGCACTGACTTTTCATTACCAAGTTTAAAAGGGGTGTAAACATGACTTGTCTCCCCGTAAGCGGGAGCACTGCCCTTTTCGTACCAATAAAGGGTGTAGCAAGAATTGTCCCTTACCCCAAAAAAGTGTAGCACTGACTTGTCAAACCCAAATAAACCTCAAACACTGGGGCTTGTCCCCTACCCAAATAAGGTAGCCCTGAATTGTTTAGTGCCCCAAATAAGGGTGTAGCACTGGGCTTGTCCTTACCCAATAAGCTGTTGAACTGACTTGTCAGTACCAAGTAACTGTAGCACTGGGGGCTTTCGTACCGAAAACTTTTAAACCCCTGGGCTTTTTCAGTACCAAGTATGGTGCACTGACTTGGCAGTTTCCAGTAAGCTGTTCAATGACTTGGGCGTAAACCCAAATAAGCTGTTGCACTGAATTGTCAGGCCAAGAAAACTGTAGCACTGATTTTCATTACCAAGTGGGTGTAGCACTGACTTTTCAGTACCAATAAAATGTTTGCACTTTACTTGTCAGTGCCCGTAAGTCTTTGCACGGGTTGTCAGGGAAACCAAAATAAGCTTTTAAAAGGGACTGACTTTTCAAGGTACCCGTTAAACTGTAGCCTGACTTGTCGTTGGGCCCAAATTAAAACTTTTTGTTGCACTGACTTGTCAGGGACCAAGTAAGCGTAGGGACGACTTTTCCCGTGCCCAAAAAGCTGTAGCAAAAGCTTGTCAGTTTCCAAGTAAGCTGGGGCCCGACTTGGGCATTCCAAGTAACTGTAGCACTGGGCTTGTCAGTACCAATAAACTGTTACAACTTGTCAGTAACCCAATAAGCTGTTTGCAATGACTTGTCAGGGACCAATAATTTGTAAGGGACTGACTTTTTTAGTGCCAAAAATTTAAACTGTACACTGACTTGTCAGTACCAAGTAAACTGTAGCACTGACTTGTCCCGTCCATAAGGGTGTAGCACTGACTTTCAGTACCAATTAAACTGTGCAACTGACTTTTTCAGTGCCAAAAAAAGGGTGTAGCAATGACTTGTCAGTGCCAAGTCAGCTGAACACTGACTTTCAGTGCCAAGTCACTTAACTTGACTTGTCATGCCAAGTCCAAATTAACTTTTACTTTTCAGTGGGCCCCCTCAGCTGTAACACTGACTTGTCAGTGCCAATCAGCCTTTTAAAAACTGACTTGTCGTGCCCAAATCAGCTGTAAACCCCTGACTTGTCAGTACCAAACCCTCACACTGACTGACCCGGAAGGTTGATGATACTGACAAAGGGAGACAAAATGCATAAATTCCCAAGGGTTTTAAAGAGGAAACGTTTTAAACACAAGTGGGTTTTATAGTCATTCTAATAGACAAAAACGAAAAATAAAAATTTTTGTGCCTTCACATGGGGTAACCCTGTTAATTTTCTTTCGCCGCCTGTATAAAACCCGGAAATTTTTGTGGAAAAAGCCGCCATAAAAAGATAACCAGCACCATTTTTTAAAAATTTTCCCCGGTTTTTATAGCATTTTCAAATTTTTTAGCAAAACCCACTTACTAACCCCCAAACCCAAAATACTAATACCCAGGCAAAAAACCACCAACCCAAAACAACACTTCACCGGGAACCTTAATGTGTCCCCGCTTTACAAGGCCTTCTTAAAAACCTTCCCAATTTTCCTCTTGACTCTCTCGTGAAGTTTGCCCCTATAAATAACCCCTTTCTTAGTTGTTTCCTCTAAAGGAATGATGAAAACTTTCTGACGAAACGTTTCTTCAGTAAAAAGTACAAGTTTTCTGTTACACTACACTGACTTTTTCACTGACAACTGATGTTACTGAAGGGGGTATTTATATCCGGTATTTTTGTGTTTTGGATTGAGATATCCCCGTGTTAGTGTCTATCAGGGATTTTTCAACATTTCCCCATCATTAACACCATCGACTTGATGTATTTCTCCATTAACCCCTTTACTTCCACACTAAAAATTTATCGCCATCATAAAGGGACAGAAAAACAAGGCCAAAAAAAAAAATTTATTCACGTTTTGCATAAAAATAGCACACAAATATTTACCCCTTGCCATGTAATTTTTTATCTCCAAGGAGTAAATTTACCCCTGGTTGAGAATCACTGGTCTGGGTGGTTTGCGATTTTAATTTAATTGCCCTTGTGTAGTCCATATAAGTAATGGATGAGCACTACTGTAGGCCTACTATTTTGTTTAGACAGGTCATGTCGACAGACGCCCTTTCCCACTTATGTACTTTTCTAATCTATTTTTAAAGTTATCCAAACTATTCAGTTTTACACTGCTTGGCAGTGTATCACTCATTTACAACTCCTCTGCCAAAGCAGTGCTTTTCTAACAAAACAGTAGGTCACATATGTAGGTTCTGTTGTATAGCTCTTCATTAAGGGAAGGAATTTTAATGAAAGTACTTGATCCAGGGAATTGGAGCTCGCTCTCCTTGGGATTAAACCGAATTGCCTCACATTCCAGACATTGCATGATCGTATTGATCTCTTGTTGGCAACATTTCTTAAGCAAAATTTACTTCTTGTGGAATTCGGTGATGAGTTAAGAGTCTTAATAGAATGCCATTAATAAACTGTTGTTATATCTGTGTCTGGTTTCGAGGGCTCTTCTGCTCCTTCAGTCTGATCTGAGTCCAGGCTTCTATGTTGACCATCTGGTCCACCAGGCTGTTTGTTTTAGCTGCCTGCCGTCTCGCATAACCATCACAACCCGGCACTTGTAGAAGGAAGCTGCCTGGCTTCTTATCAAGGGTTGCTATCTTAGCTCCGGCAGCATAAATTATAAATATAAATTTAATATAGAAAGCAGCTTGTTATGTAGAGCATTTCGGGCAAATTAGGTCAGTTTTGTCCCAGGATGCGACCCACACCAGTCCACTAACACCCAGGTACCCATTTTAATGATGGGTGAACATAGACAACTGGTGTAAAAATGTCTGGGAAACGAGAGAATCTGGAGTGTTCCAAGGAATAGAGGTGTATCAACCAAGGTCAATTATTATTATTATTATTATAATCAAAAAGAAGCGCTAAGCCACAAGGGCTATACAGCGCTGCAAACCAAGGTCAAGTAGTACCCAGGAGCTGTGATTCGATCCCTCCAACTACATATAGGTGAGAACATGTGCAACATATGGGGAGCGATGCGTTTCTTAATAAAAGTTTCCCATCCCTTATATGAACGGAGGGTAACTCCAATTCCATGTATCAAGAGCCCTTCACTAGCATCAAGGCAACCTCCTCTTCTTGAAAGTTGAGATATTTGTAGAACGAGAGGATGGTTACCACAAGCACGACATTGTTCCGATACTGCTGCAAGTCTGACTCAACTAATATAAGCGTAGTCACGATTGCATCTGATGACACAAATTTAAGCAGCATCATATGAAGGAAAGTCCAACAGGCTGATATTTTTACTCTGTTATTGGATATATTTACAAGGGTTTTGGGGGGTACCTTGATCTAAGAAATTGGAGCTATCTTCCCTTCGTCGGATCAAACTTGACTACTGCTTATTTCACGTGAAAGGCGCTCAATGACGCCTACAAGTTCAGAGGTTCTCAGTGTTTATAATAAGTACGTACTGATAATTGTGAAGCAAAGTGCAATGAACACTAATCAACGAGAGAGCAAAACCCAAATGAGAAAAAACGAGGAAAATTGTAGTTTGTATGTTTTGACCTCCAGTTGAGGAGAACCTCTAGCTTGAGGAGAACCTCCAGCTTGAACCTCCAGCTTGAGGAGAACCTCCAGCTTGAGAACCTCAGCTGGAGTGCCAAGTATACATACAGACTCTGTATAGTCCTTGTGGCTTAGCGCTTCTTTTTGATTATAATAATAATAATACATACAGACTTCAGTCTTCCACGTTATTTATCTTATGTACGTTTTCCTCTCAGTAATAATGCTAATCAAGATTTTCTGTATAGAAGTGTATTCATTGTTATTACTTTTTTAAATGTACACTTTTTGGCTTTATTATTTATTATTTTCATCATCTAAATTTTATACAAGTTTATTCAATTTGATTTAAAGTACATGTAAGTGAAGTTACTCTTTCTTATTACAGGCTCAATTCCTTGGTGCCAAGTAGCTTACTGGGAAGGTCGAGACCGTGTGGGTCGTCTCTACCCTGTATGTACCCCTTCCCTGAACATCATGGGGGACACTCCTCATGGGGATGGCCTTTCTCTAGCTTCCCTGGCTGCCCATTCCCACACTACTCCTTCTGAACAAGTCAAAAGGACTAGGGAAAAAATTGGTCTCGGTAAGTATTGCTATGGAATTGATAGATTGTAATATTTTACATATATTTAAAGGAGGCTTTTGAAAAGTATATTAAGTAATAACTTGGTCAAGCTTATTGCTTGTATTATATTGACGGGAACTGCTAAACCCATGGGGTCATACAGCACCTGGGGAATGGGTAACTGTCAAATTCCATTCGCAGAAATGGAGGGTAATTAAATTTCTTAAGATCAAGAGTCTTTCCCCAGAATCGAGGTGCCTTTCTTGTATTGTTAGTTGAATTAAAAAGTTACTACACAGAGGCTTGCCTAGGAAAGTTTATTATTTGTCTCTTGTCACTTAGTTAATTCCATTTGTTATGTGAGATAAGTCCCAGGGTTTACACAGCTCTTATTTTTGCTTGGTTAATCCTTTAGCAGGAATCTTTCCTACAAAAGATGAAGACCACTTAAGTTAAACTCAGTGTAAAGGCAGAGAATGAGGTTGGGTATGATTGAAGCATACAAATAATAATTTTTTTTTTCAACAAGTCGGCCGTCTCCCACCGAGGCAGGGTGACCCAAAAAAGAAAGAAAATCCCCAAAAAGAAAATACTTTCATCATTCAACACTTTCACCACACTCGCACATTATCATGTTTTTGCAAGGTGCTCAGATACAACAGTTTAAAAGCATAACATATATAAAGATTACAACAACATATCCCTCCAAACTGCCAATATCCAAACCCCTCCTTTAAAGTGCAGGCATTGTACTTCCCATTTCCAGGACTCAAGTCCGACTATATGAAAATAACCGGTTTCCCTGAATCCCTTCACTAATATTACCTGCTCACACTCCAACAGATCGTCAGGTCCCAAGTACCATTCGTCTCCATTCACTCCTATCTAACACGCTCACACACGCTTGCTGGAAGTCCAAGCCCCTTGCCCACAAAACCTTTACCCCCTCTCTCCAACCCTTTCGAGGACGACCCCTACCCTGCCTTCCTTCCCCTATAGATTTATATGCTTTCCATGTCATTCTACTTTGATCCATTCTCTCTAAATGACCAAACCACCTCAACAACCCCTCTTCTGCCCTCTGACTAATACTTTACAGGTAGTAGGTTGGTAGACAGCAACCACCCAGGGAGGTACTACCGTCCTGCCAAGTGAGTGTAAAACGAAAGCCTGTGATTGTTTTACATGATGGTAGGATTGCTGATGTCTTTTGTCTGTCTCATAAGTATGCAAGATTACAGGTATGTCTTGCTACTTCTACTTACACTTAGGTCACACTACACATACATGTCACATTTATTTATTTATACACTCATCTGAGTTTTCTTTGATTTTATCTTAATAGTTCTTGGTCTTATTACTTTTCCTTTTACATCATGGGAAGAAGTGGAATAAGAACTTTCCCGTAACCATGCGTGTTAAAAGTCGACAAAATGCCGGACCAATGCCTGGATTAAACCCTTTTACTGAAAAGATTACTAAAAGAATAAGAAGAAAATAATAAGTAATATTATTATTAAAATAAGAATACTACCTGTACATTATTATTATTATAATCAAAAAGAAGCCTAGCACAAGGACAACAGCGCTGCAGGGCAGGAAGAAGTGAGGCATTCAGGGGTGGCAAAAGGAGATGATGCAACAGGTTCGGATAACAGCGGGCAGTGGAATGGTGAAAGGTAAAGCAGCAAGAGACTAGCCAGAAGGGCGAGGGGTAGTGCGAAAAAGTATCATCAGAGTTTTGTGGAGTAAATTCGGTTTTTTGTCAAGATCAATGAGAGAGTCAGGATTAAAGAGGGTCATCAGCAGAAGGAAGGTAAAGAGTGATTAGAACGAAACGACGTTGGAGGTAAATTCTGCGTGTCTTGATAGAGAGGAGGTCTAACAGAAAGTGCTAATCGGATACTGATATTGACACTGCTCACAGAGAGGAACAGGTCCTCTCCATGAATACCATGAGTTAAGACCGTGTGGCAATGCGAAGGCGGGAAAGTTGTTCCCAATCTTCGCACTGTATGACAAGTAGACGCCCAATTACCTATGCTCGGTTTTAATTGATTGATAGTTTGTTTACCGGCAGAGTTGACCAACGTTGTTGCAACGGTGTGCGAAGTGGTTTTTTGCAGCAAATTAGTCCAATAAATGGAAACTCTCGATAGAAATTGTTAGGTCTTATACTGCTTGAACGCGACAGCATTGTCTGCCTTTTTCATTGCCATGTACGTCGACATGACCAGGGACCAACAAAAAACATATCTTATGTTTGGTTAGTAGATACGGGACCAAGTTGGATACGGAGAACTAGGGATAAATGTATCAAATTTCGTAACCTGTAGACACTAAGTGGAGTTTGAAGCGACTTACAAATATGACACAGGCATAGAGCAATACGAAAGTGCTGCAAGAATGGCATCAGTTCAGAGTAAATGCAGGAAGGATGTAATACCTCGTACGCCTGTCCGGAACACTGCTGCGAATCGACCGTCTGAAACTTGACCATCTGTGTCACAGCCCGGGGGCATGAGAATGGGGGAAGTGATCAAGAAAAAAGAGAGCGGAAGCCCCCGTGGCAGTTGAGCTTTCGAGCAAGGGATGAGAAAGAAAAGACCCGAACGCTGGGAAATTCCCAGGGGGCGGGAAAGTGAGATGCTAAAGAACAATTTTAAAGGGGGTAAATGAAGGGGGAAAACAAAAGTGAAAGTAGGCGAAAAAAAGGGGCGGCAAAAGGGGCGGCGAAGAATAAAAATGTTACTAATATCAGTGACCCTTCTATAAATGGAAGGTTGTGTTTTATCGGAGAGCGTACATATAACGGGGGGGGTGGGGATCACGGGATCAACAAAGGGTGGCATTTTTTCTGTAAAGGCTCTCAAAAAGGGGGGGAGGAAAAGCACAAGCAAACGTAAGCCTTGGTGATGGATAAGTTAAAGGGTGAGAGAGTAGCAGGAGAGGGCCGCGAAAAATCTGGTCACAAATCGGTTTCGAAAAAGAGGGGGAATGTAGGGGAAGCAGGTTCCGATCAGTCCCCGGAAAGATGACAAGGGTTTTAAGAAAGGTTTTTGCCGGGTTGACAAGTTGCCTTTAAAGAGGTAATGTGAGGGTTTCCCGGTTAACCCACGGGCAAAGAGAAGGCCCAAAACCCGACTGTATCCTTCGGGGATACGGGGGGCCATGAATTCAAAGGATGTTGGGGATAAAGGGGCGCTGTGAAGTAATTTGGTGATTTTGGTTCTTGAAAATTTAAACCCTGGTTTGGTGGCCCAATGGAAAAACGGTCGACCGCATGCTGGGAGAAACTGCAAAGGTGACGTCAGGCCCTGACAAGCAATAGCGAAGTCATCAACAAGAGTGATGCCAAATATTGGGGTTTTGGGAAAAACAGAAAACCAAAAACATTTATAGCAAAGGGGGAAAAATGTTTTGCTTAAAACACATCCTGAGGGACACCTTCACTTGGGCGAGTCCGGGGAAAGAAATTATTGACTCGAACAGGAAATGCGTCATTAAAAATTCTTAAGGGAAAGGTTTGGTAATTGCCTCGGGGGCCTAAGGGAAAGGGCCGGGCCCCAAAAAAAAAATTACCTCCAATTGTGTATATGCCTTCTCAAAGGTCAAAAAAATTTTGGCAAAAACTGGTGATTATTTGCAAAGCATTAAAGAACATGTATCCCAAACGTGTAAGGGGCTATGGTAGAACACCCTTACGAAAGCCATATTGACAAAAGGGAGAACTGTTGTGGTCTCTAAATAAAAAATTAACGTCGATTTACGAGGCGTTTATCACTTTCAAAACGCACTTGTAAGAGCGATGGGCGATAGTGGGGGGGCTATGCCTGTAACCCCCTTTGCGGAAAAGGGAAACAATGGGAGATTTCCCCCGTGGGGAAAAAAAATCCCTTTTGCCCAAAAAAAATTGAAGAGGTGTAAGGACTACAAGGGGGGACCGATGTAAAAGTTGTAACATACGAATATGAATGTCATCAGGCCGCTCCTGATCGGCAGGGGTGGAGCGTTGCCCCCAGTTTTGAAGGAAAAGGCACTTAACGTTCTTCTCCCAGAGAAGGAAAAACCAAGGGTACAACTCCTGGCAGCTTTGAGGAAAAAAACGAGGGGCCTAGATGGACCCCGGGAAAAAACGGCCAGTTGTGTGCCAAGTTCAATGGCAACGTCGAGAGGGTTTGCTATATCAACACCCGGACCTAGAACAGGAGCCGGGTCAGGGGAGTATTTACCCCTAATTTCCTCACTTTTTCCAGCTGCACTCATAGAAAAGCGAGGGTGGTGGAAACATAGTCTCGCCAACAAGTGCGTTTGCTTCACGGATGACACGGCGAGCGATCGCACGTTCTGCTTAAAATCAACAAGTCTCTCACGGTTCTATTTTACCGGGACCCCCCCTGCAGCCGTTTTAAAAGTACTGCACGAGCACAAGCAGGAGCCACCAAAGGGACGCATTCTGGAATGCCTCCTGAGGTTTTTGGGGTTTGAAAGAGAAGCTGCGGTATAAATGATGTCGAGAAAATTGTGGAGTATCAATTTGGGGGATAAGAAGGGAACCCCACTAAAAGCAGTGAGGTGTGGGTAAAGATCCCAAATTTTCCCGATCAAAGCCAGCGAGGGTTTCGGGAATGGTGAATAGAAGGGAAGTAAAAAATGATCGGAAAAAGATCGCTGTCATGTAAGTCTGGTAAAAGAAGTAAGTTAGTGCAGTGGAGGAAACAATGATAGACGATGCAGAAGAGTAGAGTACGAGGGTCAAAATGGGTGGGATAAACCCCTTTTAAAAATGGAGGGGGTGAGAGGGAAAAAAAGCCTCCCTGAAAAGCCCGTTGGGGCACAATGAGACCCCCCCCCGGGAATGGGGGGGCATTAAAATCACCAAGTAACAGAAGTGGGGGGTGGGAAAGGGTGAAACAAGAAAGGCAAAGTCTGGTTTGAAAAGCTCGAGAAGGGAAAAGATATAAAGAATATTGTAAACCACTTATTCAAGTGGTAGGGGTGCTGTAATGAGCGAGGTAGGAAAATAGTTGACAGTACGGAAAATTTATTGCGTTGAAGAAGGGGAAATTTTATTAAAGGTCCCTCTGAGAAAGGATCCGAAAATACAATAAAATTTTAAGCCTGAGATAGTTGGAAAACAGCCCCAGTGTAATTTTGGTTCTTGTAGAAAACCCAAAAGGGGAAAACCTGGAAAGCAACATCTGAAGCTCACCCCGTTTTCCCCCGAGGCCCCGGGAAAACCACTGTAAATGGCCATGATTTGGGGATGAAGAAAATTCAGGAATTGTAGGTAAAGGCACCTACGGCTAGGGGGTTGAAAAGTCAATGTGGGGCATTGGGAAATGTCAAGTAGCGAAGGAACGGAGCGTTGCGAAAATGGGGTTGTAAGTGGGGGGAGGGAAGGAAGGAACGGAAGTGAATCGTTCCCTTGAAGGTTTGTCTCTGCAAAATTTTTGAAATGGCTTCAAATGTTTCTGAATTCAAAATTATGGGAAACCATATTGGGGATAGGAGGAGGAGGGGGATAAAGATTGGGACAGAATGGACTGTACCAAAGTAAGGGGGAGGGAAAAGTGTAAGGGACGGGGATGAAGTGTGGGGGGGGACAGAAGGGTAGAAAATGGGAGGTGACAGAAAGGGAGAAACTTTGGGGGGGGACGGGGGGGAAGGCATAGTACAGGGGGGGAGGGTGAATCTCCACACTTGAATAAGCCGGAAAAGGGGGAAAAACTAGGTACAGAGACTGGAAAAGGGAACGTGTGGAGGGGGAAGGGGGAAGGGAAGGGGGAAAGAAAATTTGACAATGTGGGTTTTTTTTACTTCTGATTAGAGGGCGTTGGATTAGGGGTCGTACGGGTCTTTCGTACTGGGGGGTTGTGAGGAAGGACGCGAAGATTGAGAAAACTGAGTTGTGTCGGGACTCAACCAAGGACAGCAAAGGGGTTAGATGCCGTAGGGGCTATGGGGGGGGGGTAACAAAAGAAAGGGGGGCAGAAAGGGACCCAGAAGTGGGGGGCGTTTTGGAAACCGAGAATAAAAAACAGGGTGTCTCCCTTGGAGGGGGATGGTAACGCCATAGCATAAGGGGACCTTTTGCCTCTTTGAGGGAAGGATTTTTCCCTTCATTTAATAGACCTGGCAACGGCGGGAGTCGAAGGGGGGCTTCATTTCAAATTAGGCAAAATGGGGTTTACTGCAAGTGATTAGAATGGTTGTCGGCACACGACTGGGATTCGGCCCTAGATCGCAATTTTTTCGCTGGGGGGACCAAAAAGCCAGCAAATTTTTAATTTTTGCGGTGTAGGTATCACCTTTTGAACTTTAACCGATTTTTCCCCCGGACATATACAAGGACGGGAGTTCTGGTGTCAAAATTAAAAGAGCCACATTGCAAGGTAACGTCTCCGCCCCCGGGGGGGAGGCTAAGTGTTACTTTTAGGGTTGGGGGATCCTGGAGTTCCGCGTTCAAAAATGTCTTTTCCACATGACTGGAAAATTTTGTTGGACTATGGATGGGGCAGAAAGCGTACATAAAGAATTGAGAGAAAGAGTTTTTCAAAAGTGATAGGGGTATATCGTATTCGAAAGGAGGAAAAGATTTGAGTTGGGTAGCATTCTGGACTGCGGCGTTTTTACCGTCTTGAGAGCGTTTAAATGAAATACTCTGCCAACATACGAGGAGCGCTTTTGGGAATCCCCTTTGGGCAGAAAGGAGGCGAAAAGAGGTCTTAAAGTAAAAAAATTTAGTCCAAAGTGTGGTCCGAAATGACGGGGGGGGGTCTTTACGTTCGGTCGTTTGGTAAAAGGAAGGTAACGACGGAGCACATCAGGAGATTGACGTTGGGGTTTAGGAGTAGGACCGGGGTTGGTCCGGAGGAAAAGGGGGGGATTCGAAAAATTTCCGTACCGTAGAGGGGGGAAGCCCGGAAAACATATCAAAGGAAGGGGGGTTCAGACAAATCGAAGGAGTCAGCGAAAACCCCCGGGACCCGAGGGGTGAGGGAAAAAAACACAGCAAAAGGTAAGGGGATCAGGGTGTCCGAAGAGTGGGCTAAACACAAGGGGAGGGTCAGAAGGGGTGCGGTACAAGAAGGGGCCCGGGGGGTTGTGGGTTTTATGGACTAGGGCTGCCTGGGTTTGGTTACCCTTTGCTTTTGTTTTTAAAAAAAAAAAGAAAGAAGAAAAGAAAAAAAAAAAAAAAAAAAGAAAAAAAAAGGGGGGGGGGGGGGGAATAGTTCCCGGGGGGAAAGAAAGGGCCCGGGAAATCCCCCTCCGCGCCCAAAGGACTCGACACCCCTGTAGCGCAGATGCAGCAGGAAACCCCCGGGCCATACCTACCCTTCATGCCATAAAACCCGCAATCTGGGGTAGCAACCCCCAATCTGCCGGTACCTCGGGGGAAAAAAAGGGGGGCGGCCCGGTATCCGCCACAAAGCATCCCCCCTTCACCACCCCCCCGGAAAACCGAAAAGGGGGCTTCCGAGAAACCCGTCGCCCAAAAGACACCCCAAAACTACCCGGGATACCCGGGAGGGATGGGGGCATCCCCAGGCAATCCCCGTTCCACGGAACTAGCCACCGCCAAGAAACTCAACAGAAGGGATGGACCCCCCGGTTCCTTTCCCCTTCCTAGAATAGTGCCCTGTGGGGGAAATCCAGGCCAAGAAAAGGAAAGGGGAAAAGGGAGGGGTGAGGAGGGGAGGAGGAAGGAAAAAAGGGGGAGGAGGGGAATGGGATAGGGGAGGGGGAGAATGGGGGAATTAGGTTTGGTTGGGAAAAGACCCACGGGCTAAATTTCCCAGCCAAGAGCCTTTCACCACGCCAAGGGGCCCCCCTTTAAGAGGTTTAAACTGTACAAATGGACATGAAAGGAAAAGGATATAATTGATTCTCAAAAAAACCTAACCGAAAAATGAGCAACATGAATTTAATCTGAACAATTTTTAAAATTTGAGAGGTTGAGGATTGGACTCTTTTGATTTTTTCCCAAGGTCTTAGCCCCTTTAAAAAAGGTATAGTAAAAAAAAAGTTAAATACATGGGGAAATTTGGGGTGCAGGACCTACCCTTTCATAAAGCCCGTGCAGTGCTCTTTAAAAACCTTAGATTTTATTTAAGTCCCCTTTTTTTACTAGGGTTTTTCAATTAAAAATCTTTTTTTGATACTTTTGCCCCATTATAATAAAAATTTGATGTAATTAAATTCCCCATGATACTCTAATTATTGATATGTTGTATAAAGGCGAGGTTTAGGCTGGTTTCAAAACCCAGGGAATTAATCATTATTTTTTTTGGGTCTATTTGTGGGACTAACCTTCCTTTCTTTATCGTTCAAATCCTCTGTATGAAAAAGAATGCTGAATAATGTTAAATGCAGAATAAACATTTGCTGGATAATTGATGCCCTACTGTGCAGTATAGTAATAATGTTTACATTGGCTTGGATAAAGTCTGTTTTTCTCCTGGCACATTTCACACTGTTCTACTTTTTGAGAATTTTTTTTTTTTTTTTAACATTAGGCATTTTTTATAGGATTTCTTATCCTTTCAGGTAACTAATTACTTTCTGTTTATGGTTTAAAATATCCATCTAATTGCTTTTATTTATATTTGCAGGTTTGGTGCTGTATCAGGAAGGGGACAGAGTGTGGGTGTACAATCGGGCAGATGTGCCGCTCTTCATCAACTCTCCAACTTTAGACGGAGGATTACATACCCGATCCCACTTTATTGTCCACAAGCTTCCCCCTGGGCACATTCTTAACATATTTGATTATGATAAAGCTCGGCTTTATCAGAAACTTCCTGTTCATCCCGACTTATCGCATGAAGGGCCCATTGATCGGAACTCTGTGCGGGTGTCTTTTGCAAAAGGCTGGGGACCTAACTACCATCGACAAGTTATCACTGAGTGCCCCTGCTGGCTTGAAATACTGCTGGTCCCTGCAAGATGATGGCATCACTGTTTGGTGCTCTCTCATTGCCCACTCAGTCTTGGTCTCCCTGCAGTTGGCCGCTGGCCGGTCCAGCAGTACTGACAGGGAGTACATGCAGTTCAGTCATTAGGAGCAGCAGAAGCAGCCATCACATTAAGTATGTGCAGTGGATTGGCAAAACCTACATGTTGAAGCAGCACGAAGCAGCAGCAGCAGAAACAGCACTAAAATGGGCAGCTTACATGTTGTGTTGACCCAGTCAAGGCTAGTGTGTGTAGTGTATCTGAGGATCGCTGTAACATGGTGCATTTAGGTCCTTCGAATAAGCACTGGTAGTGGGTCCTGTGCACTTGGAAACTCTTTGACATTGTTAGAGTGCAAGATATTCAGTAATATCAGGGGTTAGAGTTATTGCACAACTCTGTCAGTGTGCTGAACTATATAGGTGGATGTGAATATTTAGTGCAAGATTATTTCAGATTGAAGTTAACGGGTCACAGTTTTGTTGGACATTTTTCTGTGGTTATCTTGCCAGTGAATTGGGGCACCATGTGTTAAAAGATTTTTCTTGTAATGAAATCTAGTCTGTTTGTTATTTTTGTTACTGTCTCCTATCACTGTCTTGTTTTATATTTACTAATACAATATCCTCAATGTTTGATATACAATTTTTTTTAAAAACAAACGTTGCCTTTGCAAAAGCTAGAATACTTAAGACACAAAATGGAACACTTTGTTCAAATATTCCAATATTAATGTAATGAGAAGCTCTTAAATATAGAGCATTACCTCTACCTTTTGTGAATGTGACCAGAATGGCTCTTGTCCACTTAACTACAGAACTCGGCATCTTGCATAATGTTTAGGTGTACTACAGGCAAATCCTGAAATTATTTTTATATGAACAAAGTTAGTGTGACAGTGAAACACAACACTTTCATAAAGTGTCTGACGCTTAGCATATATAATCCTGCCTCTTCTATGCATAAAGTTCTTTGTATGCAATGTGTTCCATAAGAAGTAACAAGAGGCATTGCTTTTTAAAATTCTATAAAGAAAGGTCAAATGAAAAAATAAAGCTTGCCCTTTGGATAAAGTTACATTTGCAGCAAAGTAATATGCTACTAGTCTGTGCTGACTGCATGTGGCATACAAGCCACACATGGACCTGTGCACACAGAGTCCATGTCCTGAAGGTGCTACTTAGGAAAAAGGATCTTTCACTCTATTGAAGTACAAATGGCTTCCTTGCAAACCCTGGTGCCCTCATATAGTGTTTTTATACCTATTCCTATTCTTTGGCTGCACATACATTAAAAAAATAAAAATTTCAAGCATATGGAATTTCTTGCTTCTTTTTCACCATTTTCACAATAACCAACCTTTCCCTTTACGTACAATATTTACTGTGATGTGAACGAAGCAAACATGCAGTAACCGAAACTCCTTTAATGTGCCATTTATTTCACATATAACTATTAAGTACAGTCTATGATTATAATTATTACCTATGGAAACTTGCCCTTGCCAGCAGCACTTCTTGCAGTTTTCTTGTTCATTTTTCAAAAAGTGCCTCTTGCCAATGTCTTCAAATTTATTGAGTTGTCATGATAATAAATACTTACTTGAATGTGGTTCCATTTATACTGTAATAACCTTTGATGTTTAAAATGCTTAAAAAAGGATTGGTATTTATTACTTTTGTACAAGACATAAGCAAATACCTACTGACATTATAATCAGAGGGTACCATAGTTGGCCTGTCAGTAAACTATTTTGCCAGGAAGTGCCTAAGCGTTTAATGGTTTTTCACATAGATTTAAAGGAAAACCTATCATTATCTTTTATCTTAATTTAAATAAATTTTGGGTGGATTAGCATGTTAAATACTAAATTAATATATAGTATTTTTTTTAAGCATTCAACAAATTACTCCTAGCAAAACATAGCAAACTAGTTATGTGACAATCAAAAATATTAAGTTATTTTTTAAGTGAATCTAAGGAAGTCTTAAATTATAACTAAGAGTGTTAGTACTGTATTAGAAAATATTTTCAGTTTATATAACTTTTCTTATAATGTTATGAGATTGTTAAACTACTATAGATTTGCAAGTAATTTTAATGTGAAACAAGAAAGCTATGCAGAGTTGTGAGGAGTGTTTTCATAGATTTGGAAAAGTTCAGTAAGCCTGTACTAGCTGGTAAATCAATAAGCCTTACTTTACTCCTGTGGGAGTGATGATTAAAAGTCTTTGGGATTTACTCACCAGGTGGGAAAATGGCTGACCCAAGACTCTTTGTACTATTTCTGTGATTTTTGGGTTGAATACTTGGTGTAAAATAATGATACTCGTATTATTATCGGAAGCTTATAGAGCACATTTTATTAATTTTTAAATATCGTGTCAGAAAGTGAGTCTAGGCTGCTTAAGAATTTGAAGCCAGATTACAGATAAATATTGTGGGAAGGGATGGGACCAAAACATGTAGAAGTGCCTCATAAGGGATATTACAGGGTCATTTGAGGTAGGATTTTGACCTGTAGCATGTAAAGTTTAACTTTAAATATGAATCTAATGTGATACACTTCCAATGGTTATATAGAGTTAAGCCATGGAAAAAGGGAGGATAATGTGACAGCTGATGGCATGGTTGTTACGAATGTAGTTTAGATATCCTATTAATGGTAGAGGTAAGGAAGGCAGTTTCATCAGTGACAGGAGGCTAAGGCTAAGGCTCATGTGACCCTCAAATGTGATGAAGGCAGATTGTCACTGGAAGTGTACAATAACACATTCTTCCTTCCATCATGAGGAATTATGCTTTTGTATCTAGTTACGTATGATCATATTTAAGCATCACACTACGAGTGTTATGAGCAAAAGAGGGTAGGGGTAGCATCATCACTTAGGTAACTTGGTGATACTAAGAAGTGTGAATTATAGATTGATTCTGTCATTTAAGTTAATAGTATAAATGTTTTGGCATTGAGTGACTGAAATGGGATTTGCATTTTCTTTCCAATATACTCCAGAGACAGAAGCAAGCATTGCTTTTATTTTATACCAGGTGTTCTGGTTTGTGAGAATAATGCAATGATGAATGAGCTTTACCCCTGAACTCCAATATGGCTCCTTTTTTAAATATTGCGTGCAAGCTTGCAAAGAGAGCCAAATTGAGTGTATGCCATTTGAGGCTATAGAAATGGCTAATCATATGATGTGTTGTTTCTGTCTTATGTCAGGATATTGTACGTTTACAAGTGAGCATACTCTCTTGTCATCACTAGGATCCTGGATAAAGCCCAATACATCCATGATTGCTGGTGTAGGCAAGAGGTAACACAGGTCATTTATTTACTGTGGCAACCTGACCCCCTTAACCCACCTGAGAGTTTGACTGGCTGTACAATGTATCCACACCTGTACATAATGTATATAAGAGGTTACTAAAGTTAAGTGGAGAAGCACAGGGTGGTTGCTATTTTAGAGGAAAGATATTTCCTGCCTTATATTTTTGTTAACCTGGCAATGCTACCTACCACTGCTTCACCATAGCATACTATGTAATAATTAATATGGGCCGACCATGTTAAGAACATGTACATTTGATTTTTATTAAAAACTTTTAGATTATATCAATGCCTTTTATTTTCAAAAACGTAAAACGTATTTCTAAGCCCACTCTTTGGCCTGAGAGAATCCACTACTCATAGTTATGAAACAGTGTGAAGAAAATAGGAACATGTGCAATGAATAGTACAGATTGTGACAAGGCTAAAAGAATGTCACCGAAGTCAGTACAGCTGAATAAGACAGAAATATTACCGAATGTTTGGAATGAGGAGAAAACAAGGAAAACTGGAACTGCTTATGACTCAGGTAACAATGACCAACAAAGGTTTCAGTTAACACTTGAAACATGTAGTACCTAACTACAGTGGAACCTTGGTACTCGAGCAGCTCACTACTCGAACAATTCGGTATTTGAATGCTTTGTTCGGTAAAAAAAAATGCTCGGTAGTCGACCGTTTACTTGGCACTCAATCAAACAAACATAACCTGCTGGAACTTCGTTGTAAACTATTTCGTATTTCTTTGCATTTTTTGGCGTGTTTTTATATTGTTTGTATAAATAAGTCACCATGGGGCCTAAGAAGATTAGTAATAACAGCCAACCAAAAAGAAAATTGATTGGGAAAAATTTGTTTGGTAGTTGAACGGATCGGCACTCGAACAACGGTTCTGGAACAAATTAAGTTCGAGTACCATGGTTCCACTGTAATTTGGGGATGCTGAATTCAAACCTGAAACTTAGCTTTGCTTCAATACATACAGTTTCTTTGAAATAGAACACCAAAGTGAACGATTTTGCCAAGACATGGCCATTATGAAGAAGAGAGATCCAGGAAACCTGATGATCTGTTTGCTAGCTGACTACTGGTGTGGGAGAGTAATATTGAACATGAGAAAAAGCCTGAAAACTGTTATGTAAATATGTTTGTATGACTAATATATATATATATATATATATATATATTATATATTTTTTGGGGTCCACCTCTGGTGTAAATTGTGGGACCATTGCCTCGGAGAAGTGCATTAAAAAGACTTCAAGGAAGAATATTTGGATTTCTTCCTGAAGCCGTTTGAATATTCCACTTCCCCTACCACCCATCTTTTAGTATTTTTTTTTTTTTTTTACCAATAGGAATATTTTATTACATAATATGGTACAGAAGATTTAAGAGATACATTGTTGATATAAAGGTGGCATATACGGTACATGTTGTTACGTGTGTATCACCGATTATAAGGCGAAAATCTCATCCAGCTCCTCAGAGCTGGGGCGTGTGCCCAAAATACAGCAGGCATTACCCCTTTGAACAGCCGCACTGAGCCGCTGGAACAGAAAACTAGCTGCCCTGGGATCCTAGTTACCCTGATGAGTCTTTTTCCCAGCTCCTTAAGGAATTTAGATGCACTCTTTCCCCATGAGCCAAGGGTCTCTGAGCCTATGGGAACAAACATATATGATGGGCAAGTTCTCCATATTTTCTAGACTTTTGGGACTCCCTGAAGCTGGCAGCTGCCCCTCCTTCCTCCCTGGTGTATTGGAGATAGGTATCAGCCAAGGTAGATGCACATGTATAGTCCCACACCACCTGCTTCCCATCTGTCCAGGCTTGAAGGGTGATACCATCTGGACGCTTCTGGCTGCCATCAGATCTGCATAGTTGGGGTGGCTCCCTTACTGCTGGGCATCCAGCTGTTGTGAGGCTCCTCTTGATAATGTTATTAACCTCCTCATGTCTTGCAATCTTTCCCTCGGATTTACGGCACACAAGACCATGGTACCCGAATCGGTCTGCTGCTTCACTGCCACAAATACACCTGTGTTCGGCGAGAATAGGGGCGGCAAGTCGAAGGGCAACACCGATGCGGATGGTCTGTGGGTCGAGACATGTGCCAAGGCTGGAGTTGGGAACAGCCAACAGAAAGTCCCCAGCATGAGGGGCTCTCACTGCCAGGAGGCGGGCTCTATCCTTCCCTGACACACTCTGAAGCATTGTTGAGGCATATTTTCCACTATTGGACCCATCCCAGTGCGATTGTTTGTAGTTGTTGGGGGGAGCAGGTCTGGCTCCAGAGCCCGTTAGATTATCCCAGATCATTGCTCCGTCAATGAATTTTTGGTCCTGGACTCCTACCTTGTCCCTAAGATGTTCAGGGAGAATCGCTGCTACAAGCTCTCTGGATGCAATACACGAGGACAGAAAGCAGGTAACGCAATCTGTGATGACTTGCGGACACCAATGCCTCCTAGTCTGACTGGAAGTGTAGCTTGGTTCCACTGCCCGTCTTCTAGAGTAAGGTTAAGTACTTTCGTAAAAATCTGCCTCAGAATACTGTCATATTCGTGCAGTATAGGGTTATCATATGAAGGTGCACATCTTAGGAAATATGTCAACCTGGGCAGACTCAAGCACTTTGTGAGAAGGTACAAGGCATCGTGGGTGTCCAGATTGCCTATTCGTTGTTCCATTCTCCTTAACTCTTCCAATTTCTTCCTGAGAATTGTGTCAATGGCATTGCTTCCCAGAGGTGCTCCTAGCAAGACACTATTTGTGGGGGCAATGACTGCTGCTCCTGGTAGTTTTGATCTCACTGCATTTATCACTTGTTGACTGGCTATATATGTCGTGCCGAATAGGCAGAACTTGCGATTTTGGCTTAAATAGCAAGGCTCATCTTGCCATTTAGGACAAGCGAAAATTTGTGTATGCAATAATTTCGCAAAAATCATTCTAAACATTACGAAAAAAATATATTTCATTGTGTTTGTTTAGAATTAAATTACCTAATCCTACTAAATACTATATTTAAAACATATTTAGTAGGATTAGGCTAAAATAAATTGCGCTTGTTATAATAAGGTTAGGTAAGTTTTCTAAGATTCTTTTGGTGTAAAATTAAAATTTTTCACTTTAACATTAATGAAAAAAATATATCTTTAGCCTGTAAACGGTCCAAACGCATATATACGTTTTTACCGCTAGTGCCCCAAACGTATATATACGTTTTGTGTGTCATACATTTAACATTGCCACGATAAGCCTGAGTCACCTAGACATGAGAGAATGGGTGTGAGCACCCACTGTGCGCCATATTAAAATAATTGGGGATGCCTGGGTACCATATGCTCTTTTTTCCTATTAAAAAACGTTTTTTTTCTCAAAAAAGTTGAGGCAGTACGGTAGTGAACGTATATATACATTTGGACCGTTTACGGGTTAAACGTATAAAAGAAATTTTTAGAAAGGACTTTATTTTAAATGAGTTCTTTACTAATTGACCAGTTTTACATATTCGGCACGACATGTACAGTGGACCCCCGGTTAACGATATTTTTTCATTCCAGAAGTATGTTCAGGTGCCATGTACTGACCGAATTTGTTCCCATAAGGAATATTGTGAAGTAGATTAGTCCATTTCAGACCCCCAAACATACACGTACAAACGCACTTACATAATTGGTCGCATTGGGAGGTGATCGTTAAGAGGGGTCCACTGTACTGTATATATATATATATATATATATATATATAATATATATATATATATATATATTTATATTTAACACATCGGTCATTTCCCACCAAGGCAGGGTGACCCAGAAAGAAGAATAAATAAGTTTATTCAGGTATACACAAATACAGTTACATAGATTATCATACAAAGCAGCGTATGTGTAAAGTATCAGGATAACCCAAAAAAGTCATAGTGACTTATTTCCATTGGGGTCCTTTTACCTTATTATTATAATATAAAGGAGATAATATCTTATTATTATAATATAAAGGAGACAATATCATATTATTATTCTATAAAGGAGATAATATCTTATTACCATATTATTAAGACTATCTACAATACGAAGGTCATTAGCTAACACGTGTGTTAGTTAAAAAAATAAAAATTTCCCCTCCCTTCTGTAGCTGCATTCATCAGGCACCTTTTGGCTCTCTTCTTGAACTGGTTCACACCATGACTGGCTTTGATATGTGTGGGCAGTTTGTTCCATTCCTTTATTGCTGTACAATAAAAGGTATTTGAAGCCTGGCCACTAACTGTGGGTACTACAAAGTTGTGCTCCCTCCCCCTAGTACTATGATTGCTATGGTTCCCAGCCTTTACAAAATTGGCAGGAAGATATTCTGGACACTGTGAGCAATTTTATAAACTTGATTTAGCTTCAGTTGTTTTACTCTGTTTTCAACATTTAGCATATCAATTGTTATAATTCATCCTGGCCTATATGCTCTCTTGGACCCAGGTCCAGGATGAATCTTAACATTTTATTCTAGGTGATTTGCAGTCTGTCCTAAAGTTTTTTTGTCAAGACAGAGTACCATGAATAGCAAGCATAGTCCATATGACATTGTATAAGGGCTAGACATAGGGTCCTGCGAGCCTCAGTAGGTATACACTGTTCTTGTTTATAGAGGAACTTTATTCAGTCTGGTATTCACTTTCTTTACTACACTGTTCCCTATCAATTCTCCTGACATGCATGGGTCAAAGGGGATTCCCAGATATCTTACTGAGGAAACTGAAGTGATGGGCTCCCCATTACACTGGACATTAAAATTATTTACATTTCTCAGTTTATGTTTCGTGCCAAAGAGAATGGCTTCAGTTTTCCCAAGGTGTAATGATAGTTTGTTATCTATTAACCATTTGCTGCAGGACTCCAGTTCCAGTGTTAATACATTAGCTATATCTTGTGGCTCTTTACCTGACACTAACAGAGCACTGTCATCTGCATACAGTAGGAGTTTGCACTTGACACTGATAGGCATGTCGTTAACATAGCAAAGGAATAATAGGGGACCCAGAATACTACCTTGGGGAACTCCATATGGTATCGGCAGGGGTTCTGTTTCTGTTTTGTTGATTTTGACAATTTGTCTCCTGTTGTTAAGTAGGACTTAAACCAGTCAACAGAACCTATACCGATAGCTTGAAGTTTCTTACATAATATATTGTGGTTGACAGTATCGAAGGCCTTTTGCAGGTCTAAGGTTACTATACCTATGAGGTTCCCCATCGACATTTCAGTTCTCATGTAATCCAT